ACTCGTCTCGGGTGTCAGCGCCGCAGGCCTAGCTATATGTGCGCCAGGCGCGTCGCAGCGTAACAGTGTTTCGTGAGATATCGCGAAGCCTGTTACGCGAGACGTGGTCTGGCGTACATATAGCTAGTTTTAAAAGGGCGATGGCTCAGTATTGTTGACAATATTGGGCCTTGGCTCAGTATTTTTAACAATACTGAGTTTCGGCTCAGTATTGTTGACAAGACTGGGCCTCCGCCCAGAATAGGGTATCCCTCTAGAGCGCGGAGCGGAACTAAGAACAAAAGCGGATACAGAGAGCGGTGGTGGGGGCGGGCGCGCGGAGGAGCGGTGGGTGGTAGGGGAGCCTCCCTATAGCGGAATACCCTATTGTTGACAAAACTGGGCCTTTGTGACCATCGTCAACGCTACCCATCTGACCCAGCTCCTCCTAATAGTAATACTATTTTAAAAGGATTATGGCCCAGTGCTGTTGATATTACTGGCCCTTGGCTCAGTATTGTTGACAATACTCGGCCTCGGCTCAGAATTGTTGACAATACTGGGCCTTGGTGACCATCGTCAACACTACCCATCTGACCCCGCTCCTCCTCATAATAATATTATTTAAAAGGGTTATGGTCCGGTATTGTTGACAATTCTGGGCTTTGGCTTAGTATTGTTGACAATGCTGGGCCTTGGTGACCATCGTCAACGCTACCCAACTAACCCCGTTCCTCCTAACTTTAATATTTAAAAGGGTTATGGGCCTTGGTGGCCATCGTCACAAAAGGACTATTTAGTACTAGCGGCACACAAAAATAACCTGCAAATTGTGATACCAGCAAGCCACTTTGCACACTTGTTCTTAGCACCCAAATGGTCAATTTGGCCCGCCGTACCTATCTAAAATATGCTGCGGGGGTGGGTTTTTGAGGGGTGGCGTTAAAAAGTACCCCTAAAATTGAACGACGTTAAAGTAAAGCTATGGGCGCGATCTAAGAGTCGATTTCGGCTAAATTAGACCCGCCGAACTCAAAAATGGCAAAATAAAATCTTTCCGGTCAATATTTGGCCATATTTTGGGCCATTTTGGTCAATTTAGGGCCTTAATGACTGTTAACGGTTCTCGGCATGATGGGTATCGATTCTTGGGTTTTGGAGGCCTACAAACCGGTAGGAATGATGAAAATGACGCCTGAGTACTTATCTCACGTTGTCTGACCCGTGGGGTACCATTGGCGGCACCGTGAGAAAGATACCCCATAATACCGGTTTTGCGAATTTTGAGCTGCAGACGCTATCAAAGGGTCGATTCCGACTAAATTAGACTCTCTGAACTCGAAAATGGCAAAATAATTTTTTTCCGGCGGATATTTAATCATTCTGAACAAGATTTAACACACAATTTTCTGATATTAGGGCCGAAATGCATTTTTTTTACGAATTTGGCATGATGAGTATCGCTTTCGGCAATGCGAGAGTGAACTATGCGTTTAAGATGTTTAAAATGATGCTGGAGTACTTTTATCACGCTGCCTGACGCATGAGGTACCGTTACGCACCGTGAGAAAAGTACCCCATCAGATAGTCGTCTTGCCAACAGAGCTTCAGTCGTAATTCAGGGGTCGAGTCGAGATAAATTAGACCAAACATGTAGAATTAATGGTTTCGTGCTGCAATATTTAGTTGTGGTTTCGGGGCGTTTGGAAAGCGACTCCGACCTTAAATGTTATTTGAATATATTTGTCTTCACTATGAAAGGTCCGAATACATAAAATGTATATGTATGTCTTGCTACCCCTAATCATCACCTAAGACATCATCTTCCTCAGTCTGGTGAGTAGCTTTTCTGAAAATAAGGCAATGGTTTACTACTTTTGGTTTGTCTTAATTTTTTTATGTTTCTGATTTTATGGCAGGACCCCTGAATTACGACTGAAGCTCTGTTGGCAAGACGACTATCTGATGGGGTACTTTTCTCACGGTGCGTAACGGTACCTCATGCGTCAGGCACCTTGATAAAAGTACTCCAGCATCATTTTAAACATCTTAAACGCATAGTTCACTCTCGCATTGCCGAAATCGATACCCATCATGCCAAATTCGTAAAAAAAAATGCATTTCGGCCCTAATATCAGAAAAATGTGCGTTATATCTTGTACAGAATGATCAAATATCCGCCGGAAAAAAATTATTTTGCCATTTTCGAGTTCAGCGAGTCTAATTTAGTCGGAATCGACCCTTTGATAGCGTCTGTAGCTCAAAATTCGCAAAACCGGTATTATGGGGTATCTTTCTCACGGTGCCCAATGGTACCCCACGGGTCAGACAGCGTGAGATAAGTACTCAGGCGTCATTTTCATCATTCCTACCGGTTTGTAGGCCTCCAAAACCCAAGAATCGATACCCATCATGCCGAGAACCTATCAGTCATTAAGGCCCTAAATTGACCAAAATGGCCCAAAATATGGCCAAATATCGACCGGAAAGACTTTATTTTGCCATTTTTGAGTTCGGCGGGTCTAATTTAGCCGAGATCGACTCTTAGATCGCGCCCATAGCTTTATTTTAACGTCTTTCAATTTTAGGGGTAGTTTTTAACGCCACCCCCCAAAAACCCACCCCCGCAGCATATTTCAGATAGGTACGGCGGGCCAAATCGACCATTTGGGTGTTAAGAACAAGTGTGCAAAGTGGGTTGCTGGTATCACAATTTGCAGGTTATTTTTGATACCGGCGTTGTGCCGCTAGTACTATATTGTTGACAATATTGGACC